AGAGAGCATCTGTCCAGGATTTAGTGGCCGGCCCAGCCCTAAACTACGACAGTTGTCTAGCTCAAAAGCCTCTTTAAAGACTTAACAACCAAAACGGAATATTTTTAGACCCCTTCTCACAAATAATATCCCAGAAAATTTTCTCATTTCCACAATTCTTTTATCTCTTGCTAAGAAAAATACCCCTGTTTAACTTACAGAAGAAAAACCTATTGACCTTCAGAAACTCTGGTAATTATGTATTAAACATGTGACAGCTTAGTGAAGGACAATGAGGTCTTACTAATCTCTGCCCATCTCATTCTGTAATGAGTCACCTGTACGTCACAGGTACAATTAACATGGATATTGTTGTAAATCCTTTTAATGCATGAAGTGCCTCACAGGGACATGGCAAAAGACAGAACTGGGAGAAAAAAAAAATGATGGGGAACATTAAACAAACACACACAAAAATCACGTACCACAACAGTTAGTTTTTACTAGGGGCTCAAGTGAAGAAAGATATACCAGGAGAAACACTTACATAGGTTCCTCATCTGTGGTTGAGTTGCAAATGAGACAGAAATAATGAAACATTTCTACTGCTGCACCAACAAAAGTTTCCAACACAGTCTGGGTCTTAATGAGTGCATCTGAACACAAGGAACCTGTCTTCTTGAAAAAACAAACTAAACAGCCCAGCTCAAAATATAATTATTTGTAGGAAACAAAATTTTTTTTTTTACGTGAACAGAAACACTTCAGATATATATCTTATTACTGCATATTCCTATACTTACTTTGGATCTTGTATAATGAAAAAGTTGAACTGAACATTTTCTCAAGAAAAAATGGTTCTTATTTAAAAAAGGAATACTTCTAATTAAAATAGCCAACTTATTTTTAAAGATGCAAAATATCCAAACTAAGCAGCAGCCTGGCCTCTTCCCCCAAAAATGTATTATTTTCCCACCTCCCCCACATTTAAACTTTCTTTCCTTACCCCAAAGTCTGCAATGGAGAAAACAACCAACTCACCTTTTTTTTCCTGCTAAAGAAAATTTAGTACAAACAAGAAAAATTTTAGAATATGCTTATGGTTTTGTCAGTGATCAACTTCAAATGAAGACAATTTCTGATTTTGTTCTGTTAGGTTGTTCTTCAGTTTATTAAAAATCAATGATATTTCTTTTCTAGAATGCTCTAGGGTGTCCTGGCTTTCAAAGTTTCACTCAAGCAAAATTTACACACTTCTTGAAATATTTTTTCCTTCTCTTTCTTTTCCATTTAGAGAAAATAGTATCACTATTTTTCTTTTCTACTTTTATAATTTTTTCCCGTTTTTAAATTGTGCTGTGCTATTAAAAAAAAATAAATCAGTACTCTTAGCAAGAATTAAGTATAGTGCTAGAGTTGTGTTATTTACACTTATTTAATAATGTAAATAATTAGCTTGTTAATAAAACATAGTATATTAGTAAAGACAAAGAGCTGAGTTCAAGCATTAATATTAACATATTACCAGGCCTTCTGGCAGGAACTTCAGGATTATGTATTAATAAATGCTACCCACTTCCAAACATTTCATTTACCACTTCATTTATACAAATGCCAAAGCAGAGTTTACCATATGTGCTGTTTTGTAACAGAGAGGCACTGGCATCACTTTTGTCATAAATACAACTGAAAATGCAAAGCCAAATAAAAAAATCACTAGTAATTTTAATTTAAATGTTTTTCATTATGGAGCTGTTATAGAGTTTCTTTTCTGCTGTGATAAATAGCAACTGGATCAAAGTTAAGCTTGCTGCAGAGGGGTTAAGGTCTTCTGCATGTAACAGCAGACAAAAAATGAAGGAGATGAAAGCAGCATTTGTAGAAGGGAGAAACATAACTGCTTTATTACAAGCTGAACACCACTTTTGGCAAAACCCTCAAGTTTGATGGCCACTACAGCCAAACAACAACTTTGCTCCTTTTAACTACTGCATTACATTATTTGAGTAGCTCATACTGCAGTGTTGCTTACCCCTGGGTATCAGTAACACCTTCAGACTGCCTTCCTCTTCTGTCTGGCATCTTTCTGTTCAAATTCTTATTGTAATGAACCATTATATAACTTCAGTTCAGAAATATGTATTCTAAAAACAAAGAAAAATCAAAGCACATTGAAGCTGACATAGGTATCTAGAATGTTTATTTCAGTAAATAATGATAATACATATACAATGAAAGATTACAAGACTTTTTTAAAAGGGTTTTAATAGCATTAATCAACAAGAAACATAAATATGTCCAAGCATCTGTTTATCACATAAACAGGCTGGCAAATTCTGATTCACTAGAATAAAGAGAGATTCAAAACAGGTGAAACGCATTACCACAACTGCTGTGATTTAAAATAATGGGGCAGGCTTGCTAAGGGGAAAAATAGATGAAAAACCAACCCAACCCACCCTGCAGTGTTTCTAAGAGATTGATTTCCCTGAGAAAATGCTGATGATATGATTCAGGTCAGACCATCCTTCCTCAAGAAGCACTGTATAATACCTATGTGTAATACCTATAGCCCTGCCCTGGTATCCTGGGCAACACTCCAGAGTTACCCTGGGGAGACTGGTAGCTGCTTTCCTGTAGCTGTAGGGACATATGGGTGCAGGAACAGCAGGGACCTCAAGCATGGCTGCTGTATGACAACAGCCCAACATCTCTGTTTTAAGGGGTGGCTACACCACAGATGAGCAAGGCAAAGGTGTGACGAGGTTAAATGACTGATTGTTACCCGTGGAAATGCAAAGATGACATTGTGTCCCTTTAAAAATAAATTGCTGTCACAGAAGGCACTGAAGTAATAGCAGCACTTTATGGTTTTAATACAGACTTTCACCTGAAAGTGTCTTTTAGAAATAAGAGGTAATTAAATTGTCAAGCACAGAGTGAGAGCGTGAATGTCTTCACTGAAAGCACCAACTTCTAAGGTAAAATTGATACAGTAATGCATCCTAATAAATGAAGATCAGAAAAGAAGAATATCAAATCAATTAGGAAATTCTGGCCTGCAGGTTTGTGTTGTGGTGGGGTTTTTATTAATTAAACAGCAATTTCAGTCATCATAAATGGCAAGCAAGAATTCAGACTTACACATCGCCTCAAAGGCGTTACTCATTTTATCAAAGTACAAGTATTAGTTGCACTGCACTTCTCAAAGTGATACTTGTCGTGGTTTAGGCCCAGTGCATAA